TGCCCAATCTTGTCTGATCTCAGAAAATGGGATGTTGTCTTTCTTTGATTCTGCCTCCTTTTTTGGCTTCATATATGTAGAGGCTCTTATTTATAAGTGTGTTTATAGTTGTTTCTTTTTCTGTCCTTTTATTTTTAACTTACTTATGGTTTTGAGCCAAAAGGAGTCTTTTGTAGATAGGATTTCTGTCTGCTTTAAGGCTGAATAGTATTCTAGTGCATGTGCATACACCATCTAAAAAAGTGATTTATTCACCTATTGGAGACTTCCTGTAGAAGAAGGTCTGCTGCTGCCCTGGGGAAGCAGGGCCTGACTCACACAGGGAATGCTGGCTGCTAGCCAGGGAAGGGTGAGGGGCAGCTCCAGGCCCTCTTGCCATGTCAGGAGGCCTATTTCTTTTCTTTTTTTTTTTCCCCGGAACCGGGGATTGAACTCAGACCCTTGCGCTTGCCAGGGAAGTGCTTATTCCACTGAGCCAGCTCCCCGGCCCCCAGAAGAATGGGCAGGCTCTTTTGTGTGTGTGTGTGTGTGTGTGTGTGTGTGTGTGTGTGTAACCAGGGATTGAACTCAGGTCCTTGCACTTGCCAGGCAAGTGCTTGTTCTACTGAGCCATCTCCTCGGCCCCAGGAGGCCTATTTCTTCATTCAATGTTTGCTGAGTTTCTTTAAATCTCTTATTTTCTGGGGCTGACAGCTGATTCTGATAGTTTTTTCTTGATTTTGTAATGGAAGAATAGACTGTTGGAGCTACACCATTTTTACAGATGTCATTCAAGCAAGATTTTTGTCTTTTAAAATAATGTCGCTGCAGCAAATAGAGTCCAAGAAATGATACTAATACTTATACAAATGGTTCACAGGATGGGATCCGACGTGGCCGACCCAGAGCTGATGCTGTACGGGATCTAATCAGTGAAGGGGAGCATTCATCAAGCAGGATCCGATGTGACATCTGTAACAGGGTGTTTCCACGGGAGAAGTCACTCCAGGCTCACAAAAGGACTCACACAGGTAAGTCAAGTACATTTTAGCCATTCCTAGAAGTAATACTTTATTAAAGCTAACCTGATGTTTAGGCTTATAAATTTTAGTTGCCTTCTATTTCCTTATGTTGCTACTGTTTGTGAATTTTAAAAACAGGCTGTGTGTATCATTTCCTTTTGGGTGAGGAGTGGTGGCTTTTAATATGGCTCCATGTGACTCTTAACAGTTATCAGGGTACTTATTCTGGGTATCACTGGCAGGTCATAGTTAAATTTAGTTCTCTTTGTATTTATTTGATATACTCTTAATTGGTGTCATTGTTAAAATTCATTTGTAGACCAAATAATAAAACTGTGATCATCACATTTTTAGAGAGAATTCTTTTCTTTTTTTTTTTAATTTTTTTTTAATTTTTCAACAAATAATACACTGCATATATTCTTCTTAGTGGTTAATTGCTGTACAAGATGCGGACTTGGGATCCTATTTACAAACACCATTAGAACAAATCATTCTATTCTAGAGAGAATTCTTGAGCGCTCAGTGTGCCATCAGTGTTTGGCCTAACCATCAGGTCTGCCTACCGTGGACTGATTTTTCAGAATTAAATGAATTGCAAACAGCTATCCCAAGATTATCATGCATCTTACCTATATGTAGAAACTATACTTGTGTTTTAAATACCATTTAGAGAGCAAAAATCTTATTTATAGAGGGGGCTTGTTCTTTCTGTAAGTTGATCCTAGAGGAAGGAACCTTGTAGTTCTTCTGAGAATTCACATAGGAGGAAACTGAAGTCTGACAAAGCCAGTGAATACTGGCCTACAGTGAGCTGAACCCTAAGTCTAGAGCTCTGCCTGTGCAGTTTAGTAGTTACCAGCACTCGTGGCACCTTTGCATGTGAAATGTGAGGAGTCTAAACTGAAATGCCAGTAACTGTAAAGTGTACTAAGAGGAAATAATCTCACTCATGATTCTAATATATTGACATGACAGTATTTTGGTTAAATTGGATTAAATAAGCATATGGTTAAAACCAGTTTCACTTGGTTTTGTTTTTTCTCTTCTAATGTGGCTTCCATGTGGTTTGTGTTATATTCCTACTAGCCAGTATTGATCTAGGATTTCAACTTTCTTTCTATCAGGAATCAAACTCAGGACCTTGCACTTGCCAGGCAGGCATTGTGCTGCTGAGCTACATCCTGGCTAGGATTTCAACTTTAAAATTTTTTTTTTTTTTTCCCCTTGTATTTACTTGCTTATTTTTCTTTCAGCTTTGAAGAGGAGGTAGACTTTATTGTGATAGAGTATAGTTTCCTTATCTAAAATTCCCCTCAGATAACTGTGTGTGGGTCACACACCCCTTGTTGGCATGTGGGACAATTCAAGATCATGGCCTCCATGAGAACACCCAGTCACTTACTCTGCCATACCTGCAATGTGTGTCACTGACCCTTCTAGACTTTGGCCTGCTATGCTGTATACCGAGGAAGTGAGCTCACAATCCCTAAGCATAGTGAAGATCTATCACATGTGCTTTGTAAAAAAACATTTCTCTTACTGTTTTAAATCATGCCCCTGTATCCTGTGTTTGTTACGTTATATTCACTTATTGTGACCACTTAGTCTGTCACTAAATGATGAGAAGTTTCAGGAGAACTTGTGACTGTTCTTTGGTCTTATCAGAAGAACCAGTGTATAATTGGTGGTTAAAGAATAGGTTTTACATTGCTGGGTTTGGTGGCACATGTCTGGAATCAAAGAATGCTGGATAGCTGAGACCAGAGGATGACAAATTAAGCCTAATCTGGGCAATTTAGCTCTATCTCAAAAACAAAATAAAGGGCTGAGGATATAGTTCAGTGGCACAGCACCTGCCTGGCAAGCATACGGTCTTGAGTTTGATTCCCAGTACCAAAAGAGAAAAAAAAAAAAATACTGACAAAAAAAGGGAGTAGAGGGGCCGGGGAGATGGCTCAGTAGAATAAGCACTTCCCTGGCAAGTGCAAGGGCCTGAGTTCAATCCCCGGTTTGGCCAAAGAAAAGGGGGGTGGGTAGGGATGTGGTTTGGTGTGAAGGCTGTGGCATATGCATATAACCCCTAGTACCATGCCCCCAAAAAAGTTTGTCCAAGAAATAATAAACTTAGTTGCTGAACAACATTGTGGAGCACATTTAGGAGCCTAACATTGTGTTATCTATGGGCATTTAAATGAAATACAGCGTAGTAGGAATTTTAGCAAGAACATCTGTGATGTGTTGATGTTTTTTAGAGGTAGAGTGAGGTACAGTGCTGGAGAACCTGCAGGACAGAAGATTTGAATGGACAGAACGTGGGATTTTCAAGGGCTAGAGCCAGATGAGGAGGAACTGCCTGTTAGCAGAGATGACTGCAGAGAGAAAATAAAGATATGCCTGGCACTTAGAGTGACAGTTTTAATCATCTAGAGAGCACTGTTGCCGTTTGGGATGGCTTAGGGGCAGCTAGGACAGTCCTTTCTCCATGGATGAGAAAACAGGAGTGAGAGACACAAGGAATCAGCAAGAGGCAGTGGGTTGGATTTTGGGGAGTGAACAGTCTGGGATAAACTGAAGAGGATCACATCAAGGACTTGGACCTGGGTTCTTAAAATCCCAAAGCCTGAAGAAAAGCTTGTGCTCTGCAGAGGGCCTGCTGCTGTCCTTGCTGTCAATAGCCCCCTCACTGGCTCTGTCGCTACCCCAGGGGCATAAGGGTGGAGTAAAGGGGTGGTCTCACTCCCTTCTCCCCCTTCCTTAATATAGCTTTTTCTCCACAGGTGAGAGGCCCTATCTCTGTGACTACCCGGACTGTGGGAAAGCCTTTGTTCAGAGTGGGCAGCTCAAAACACATCAGCGGCTCCATACAGGAGAGAAGCCTTTTGTTTGCTCAGAAAATGGTACGGTTGTCAAAGTTAAGTTGGGGAATACCTGGTAATGAGTTAATTAATAGTTAAAATATGTTTTACTTTCAATTTTTGAGGTTAAAGATTTTTGATACGAAATATATTAAACATAAGCTTTATTTATTTTTAAGGAGCAGAATTTATTTATTGGGGGAAAGAAAGCTCTCTGAGAGCAACAGGAGGGGAACCTGAGTGTGTTGCCCTCATAAGCTTTTTTTCTTGCTAATTGTGATCCATGCTAAATTTTATGGAAATGATTTTCAAATACAGCGTTCTTTTTAGATGGAAACCTTAACAGGCAATTAAAAATACCATATCCAATTGCAGGGAGCAGAACAATCTGTAAAAGTAAACACAGCCTTCAGAGTAGGCTTTGATGTTGGTTTTCAATTTCTTAGCTATTCAACTGAAATAAGCATATGATCTTTTTTTATCTTTTAAATTCTTTGATTCCTTTTCATTTTTGTTTTTATTCGTTTGTTATGTACTCATCATAGTTCTTTCTATAGCATATCTTAATACTTCTTGGTACATTCCCTTCCCTTCTCCTCTCTTCCTCTCTACATCTTAGTTCCCTTCCCATTTGCAGAAGATCTGTCTCCTTGTTTCCTCTTATTTACATTTTACCTTAGTCTTTAATTTACTTATACTCTGAGTTCCTTATATAAGAAAAAACATGTTGTAATTTAAGCTTCTGTGTTTGTTTTATTGCACTTATTATCTCAAGGTAATCTTTTCTTAGGTGACCTTTTATCACAATTTCTAAAGTTTTTTTTAAGCAGTTACATTTAATAATAATAAAATATTATTAACATTTTAAAATGTTAATAATATAACATTTTATATTACATTTCAATATAATTCTGTCCTGTTCCTCTAGATTCTTGATTACTGTTATAAATGTTACAAAAGTGTTTCATCTAGTGAATTTGCTTAAGCAAATATATAACCATTACTTCAATATTAAATACTTAAATTAAATATTAATGTTGTAAAAATTTGCTTATTACCAGCAAAGACCAAGGGGATGTTTTCACACGTACAGCTTTGTTTCTTTTGGGGGATGTTTTCAGGAACTAGAGCTCCTGGCTCAGAAAATTTGAGCATGTGTATGACTTGTGTTTCTTGGGGTTTGGAGAGATGTACATGGTGGTGACTGTGCTGTGTCCTCTGCTCCTGCACTGGCATTGTGGCTGTGTAGAGGCGTGCTTGGTTCTAGAAGGCCAAATCTCTCCTTTACTTTTTCTGTATATACTAATGAGACTGGATATTTTAATATGTCTGCTGGGTATCTATGTTCTAGCAAGTGTCTCCCTCCTTGTTTAAAGGCTGCCTGAGCAGATTCACTCATGCAAACCGCCACTGTCCCAAGCACCCGTACGCCAGACTAAGGAGAGAGGAGCTGACGGACGCACTCAGCAAGCACCAGGCTGCAGACAATAAGGCTGCTGCGGAGTGGCTGGCAAAGTAAGGCATGGTGTGGGCAGCTGCGGAGGTCTCTGCCAGGCGGGGGTTTTGGGTTAGGCACTCTCACTTTATTTTTTATTTTTATTTGTTTTTGGTGGAACTGGGGATTGAACTCAGGCCCTTGTGCTTGCCATTGAAGCGCTTATTCTACTCAGCCATCTCCCCGACCCCCCCTCTTACTTTAAATAAGCTGCTTTTACACACATATGGAGTAATTCACAGTAGTTGTTTCTTTACAAAATGTTATAAATGGTCTATGCATGATTAAAATCTACAATATAATTAGGTTGTATGCCCCAGCCAGTTTCATTTATTTTTTCACTGTAAGGTATACTATTTCTTTTCTTCCAGTTTTAAATTGTGCTGCTGAGGTAACCCCACAATTTATTTTAAAAGGAAGTGTTTTCCTCTTTTTTTGTGGGTATATGTGTGTAGAGATAGGATCTTATTGTGTTGTTCAGACTGGCCTTGAACTAACAGTGGCTGGCTGTCACACGTTTATCTCTTGAGTGTCCTCCTTGCTGACCAGAAATACATGAGAGCGGTGTCTTGCCACTGCTGTAACCCTAAGGCCCATAGTTCATGGGCCTTAATATTCAAACAAGCAAAGAGCATGTTTTGGGGGATGAAAATTTTTATATATAAAGGAAAAGTGGAAAAGCAAAGGTCAAGTGTTTGTCCCATCAGTTTGCTACCGCTGAGAGTCAGTCACAATGGCAGGAACACCTGAGCGAGAAACCATGTGAGACAGGAAGCCAGATGATTCAGGGGCCAACATCACTCTTTTTACAATGGTGCAGTTCGGTGGGAGCCAACCAGAGTCGTAAGAGCTGTGATGATGCTTCCTGAGGACCGAGAACCCGTGACCTGATGATAACCTTGCGCTCGGCCTCAACTCGCAAAGGTTCTGTTATTTCCACACACTCCCACACTGACGATTGGCTTCCAGCATGTGCTGTGACACACGTACACACTCTTTAGGGGTGCACACTCAAACCATACCCGAACTGTCCCTCTCCTCTTCCTCAAAGTTTACTTTTTTTTTTTTTTTTTTTTTTTTAATGTATTTAGTACAGGGTCTCACTACACAGACCAGACTTATATCCTCCTGTTTTCAGCCTCCCAGGCGCTGGGATTACAGGTGCCTGCTTAACATATTAATCTCTGTCACCTTTTGTCAATGTTTTACACAGTTAACTGTCAGAAATTACCAGGATAGAGAGGCCTCTAATGACTTTTTAAAAACCATTTGTGTTTGAATCTTTTCCTATGTGTGCCTCAAGGTAGCAGTGTATCTTTCTTGATGCAGGCACTAGGAGTCAGGGCCTTCCACCTGCGGGGCCTGCAGGCAGCCAGCAAAGGACAGGCGCAGAGTTACTCTAGGGGAGGCCACTTGTGAATACCCAGGCCGAGCAGGAATTTGCACTTCTTTGCCCTTGAGTTGTGACTTCCGTCAGTGGCAAGTTTATGTGAGATGCGAAGTCCTTTAGCACTTTATGAGCTAAAACACAGAAAAGCAATATTCTTTCGAAAAGCTTTAGTTTTTAAGGAAGAGTACAGTCAAGACACGCTGTGTGCCCTAACAGTTCTCGGCCTTTTGGACAGGTACTGGGAGATGCGGGAGCAGCGCACCCCGACCCTGAAGGGCAAGCTGGCGCCCAAGGCGGACCAGGAGCAGCGTGACCCGCTTGAGTGCCTGCAGTCGGACGGCGAGGACGATGAGAAGAGTGTCGCCCAGCAGCGGCTGCAGGAGCAGCGTGAACGGCTGCATGGGGCTCTGGCGCTCATTGAGCTGGCCAACCTGACTGGCGCACCGCTGCGCCAGTAGCCGATGCCAGGCAGAAGCTAAGCACCTTACTTGCTTATCCTAGGCTGCTATTCTGTAGAATTTATGAAGAATGTCATTACCCCAGAAGCTGGGGTGAGAGAGAATTGCACTTTTTTATATGGAAATAGATTGGATGTAAAGTTTAAAATTATTTTGTAAATAAGGACTGTACCATACAGGGTAGAAAACTACATATTGTGGGAAGCTAGATTTTGCAAGTTTAATGCATTCATTGGAAGCAGTTCTCACAGGAAGCACTTTCTGAATAAGACACTTGTGTGAAAAAGCAGAAAATGGTACAAGGAGCCAAAGAAGATTGAAATAGATTATTTATAAGATCATTTTTAACAATGTATATTAGTATATTTTAACATTAATACTGTAAACACTGAAACAAACAAAATATAAAATGTGTTTGTAAGATATATATTTTTAAATTGCTCAATAAGGCTAGAGAAATGGGAAGCTATTTGGGAAGCTGTTCTAAGTTAAGGACTTGGAAGAAAGATATCTGAGGATCTTGGTGAAATACACAATAGTTCAGAATTTTGGCAATTGGAGTAAAATCAGTCTTATTCTACCCGACTATAATGTTTGAGTTGGAAAAGCACTTGTCACCCCTCACATGTTAATGGGAACTTTTGCACATTTCACGTTTCTCATTCGCTGAAAATCGAGTGATTAATCTTGCAAAGTCTAGGTAACATGGGAATTGGTGTTTTTTATATATATGATGGACCCTGTCATGAGATTTGGCACGTGGATTTTTATTAATAAAAGGGACATCTACAGGGTTGCTTTGTAGTGAAATGTTTTAGCTCTTTTGTTAGCAAACACTAAATTTTAATTGTACTGCTTATTTAGAATTATTAGCAAATGGAAGCCTCCATATTTATATTTTCAGTGCATAAAGCCACCTTCTGCTTTACTTGAGAATAACATGCCAAGCTATTTTGTGTTCACTAAATTTAGTTATCAGTTAAACACTGCAGAAAACAATAGCTACTCAAATATGTAGATTTCTGGGATAGTTTTTAACTGCAAGTGTGTTAACTTGTGTGGTGGTTTAAAACCATTTTTTCCCAAATAAATGAAGTTAATAAACATCACTTTATGTACTGAAGCATGACTGAAATTTAAAAACGGAGCAGGCCACCTCCTTTTTATAAGCAAAACCCTCTTATCACATGAGCTTTCGTTGTAAACGAAATGACATGCATAGCATGGTAATTTATAGACTTCTTAATTGGAGTGAACCTCAAAATATAGGGGGAAAGATGGGCTCCTCAGCTTCTTTTTTCTTTGAGTAAAGTGGTACCCTCCAAATGTAGTTCATATGTTACCTAGAATGTAGGCTTTGTATCCAAAAGTCCTGAAGTGTGGCAGTACACAGGTAGTTTCCAGGGGACAGGCTTGGGGGAGGGGAGCCAGGGGAGTTTTTTGAAGAGAAGTGGAGAGGGGAAGAGCAGACGTGGCAGTTAGAAATAATGTGTATGATGAGGACATACGTTAAAAATATAATTCCTCTGTACAGATAATTACAGATCTTTTAGGGAATTTTTGTAATAAGAAAATTTATAGTCGTAATGATCTAAGAATTCTGTTTGTAATTTGGTATACGGAATTTTAACTTGGAGCACTTATGAATTTGGTTACAGACCATAGCATATGAAATTTCCTGGTTTAGGTTTCAACATCTACTCTAGAATTTTCCCTCTCAACTATAACTTAACATGAATTGAAAAGGAACACTCAGTCTTGGGAAATGTAAAATCTGGTAAATTTACCTAAAGAAGGAAGGTCAATAAGAATACAAATATTTGTCAGTTCACAGATAATAAAAAAAAAATCTAAGACTTTTAAAAAGCAAGGATTTTTTTATTGTTTTTCCAGTCAGCTTTTGTAAACCATAAGTCGTTCATAAATATTTTTATTTGTATAATTGGAAGTTTTAAGAAATTATTACAATTCTTTACGAACATTTAAAAGGTTATCCTTTGATATAAGCTATATACTTGGACAAAATATATGGTATCTAAAATTTGAGGTGTGTTAAGACTGCTTTTTGTTTTAAAAATGTGGTTTACATTCAAATTTTTGAAGTGTTTTATGCTTCATACAGCTATTTTGCAGTGTGGCAGAGTTAACAGCATAGAATAAACATGCTGTAATTTTAAAAGATGCTTTGAATAAAAATTTATTTTAATTTAAAGTTTAAAATACATAGTCATTCTTGAAGCTTTATAATTTATTTTTCTATCAGTATAAACATGATATAAAACCTTTGACAGAGACATGACAGCCCTCCATTCTTTTTGTTGTTTTAAATTTATGTATTTGGTACAGGTTCTTGATATGCAGCTTGGACTCCTACTGATCCCCTGTCACAGCCTCTCCAGCACTGGGATTACAGGTGTGTGCCACCATGCCTGGTTTCAGTGGCCAGCAGGGTGCTGGGCTGGCTCATGCAGTACCTGGGATTAAATCCAGGTCCTTGCAGTTGTCCAGCAGACGCTTAGACTGCCGAGCTATCTCCTCACCCGAGCCCTCCATTCTTTGGTCAGCATTATTTTAGTGCATTTTATAGTTCATTCCAGTCTTATTCCAGGTATCTCTTTTGCATAGTTGTAACCTGAGTGTGGAATGTCTTACTTTAAAATTATGGGTTTTTATAGCACAGATATTTGAACTGGACGCCTTTCATGGCTCATTATTACAGTGTTAAACGACACTGGTGTAGATAAGTATTAAACCACTGGCAGCCCTGTCCTGGGCCTTCAGTAGGATCATCAGGTCCTGCGATTGCACTTCTAGTCCAGATGTGTTCAGACTTTATTTAGGGCTGGGTGGGTCTTTTTAAGATAAGGTTTCACTCAGTTCAAGTTGGCCTTGAACTCCTGCTTCAGCCTCCTGAGTGCTGGGATTAGCCAATTTTTGTATAATTTTTTGGAATGTCTTTGAGCACTTGCAGCCTCAGAGCTCATTCTGTCTGGATTTTTCAAAAGAATCTTACAAAGAACTCAAGTATGAGTTGTAATTTGAACAGGATAAAGATGAGATTCGAACAGTGACTGCAGACCTACTGTTTTGTAATCAAAGTGACCTAAGACATCTTTTGGAGAAAATTAAAAGGGACTTATGTATATGAATCTTTTTCTTATTTTGGGTAATTTGGGCCCTCTTCAAAAGTTTTGCTTTAGTTCCTCAATCAGGGCTAAAATGTTTGTTTTTAGCCTCTGGCTGTTCAGTGGCCAGAGGACAGCGGTTGCCCCAGCATCTGTACAGTTACACTTGGACTTTCACTAAGAACGTTTTGCATTTCTAAAAGTACCAGATTTTTTTTAACATTAACCATTAATAGAATGAAAATACAGAACACTTTAAGAGCTGCTACCAGAGGCAGTCCTGGGAGGTTTCCTTTGAAATAGGCCTACCGGTGCTAACAGCTGTCCCTTAGGGAAGGGAAGAAGTGTGCCCTTGGGTGAGGACAGGACCTGCCCTAAAACACCCAGAGGCACCCGAAGCCCTGACACTATCCTAGGTGCTTATCAAAGAGAACTGAAGTCTGTACACATGTTCAAGAATGGCCAGCGTGTTCCCTATTAGCCCTAAACTGGAAACAACCATCGTGCCCATCACACCATTAAACAACAAAAAAATGTTAAGTGGCAAGGATAATTAGCCGAGTTTAAAAAAAAGTGACAAATTCTAGAAAAGCATCTCATTTACATTAAATTAGAAAAAGAAAGGCAATGAGATGGGGGAATTCAAAGGGGCGTCAGGAACTTTTGAGGATGGTGGAAGTGTACTATGCGGTGATCTAAGCGATGACCTCGACGCGTGCATTTATCAAAACTCAAAATAGCTCAGAAGCGGGGTGCTCTCCTGCGATGCCGGCAGTCTGGGAGGGTGATGCAGGAGCACGGCAAGTTGGATCCCACCCTGTCGCAAAAACAAAACAAAGAACAACCTAAACTGTACTCACAAATTTCATGTTATTGGATAAAAATCACACGTTGAACATAGTTGAGCGAGCAGAAGGAAGCCCACGGCGCGCGGCGTCCAGGCGAGCGGCCTCCTCCCAGCCCGCTCGGCCCGGGGTGCAGCCGAGGGCGGGCGGGCGGGCGGGCCGGTTCCCGCGCGGCTCTTCCTGTTCCTGCCGCGCCCTTCCCGCGGGCCGGGACCTGACCATGACGGCCGCGGCCGCCGAGCCCTCCCGCGCCGCCCGGCTGCTGTCCGCGCTGCTCTACGGCGGCTGCTCCCTGCTCCTCGTGCTGCTCAACAAGGCGCTGCTGACCGCCTACGGGTGAGGGCCGGGCCGACCGGGACGCGGGGCCGGGACTCCGCCGGGGGCAGCGAGGTCGCCGCCTGACGCTCGCCGCTGCGGGCCGCGGCCGCCGCGAGCTGGAGGAGGCTCCACCCACAGGTGGATCTCGGAGCCGGGGAGGGAGGCTGGGTTCCGGCCCCCAGGCGCCACCATCGGATCAGCCTGAGCCCCGCGGCTGTATTGCTTGACCATTCCTTCCGGATAGCGGCAAGTGCAGGGAAAACAGTTACAAGTTATGCGGTGGCGGGTTTTAATTCAGTTTTTAGTTTTATTAGTACCTGTTCGCGGCGCACAGTGATTCCACTCCTCGGTGGGAGTTGGTAGTGTACCAAACATCCTCATTCCTTTCGGGTCCTTTTCCCTTTTCTCCTGCTCCACGCCTGCCTTTCGCGGTGATGCAGGGAGATTTAGGATTAGCGAGAAATAAACCTGTGAACTCCCGCTTCTTTGAGCCTCACTGTAAGAACTAGAAAATCCTGTTTAATTCTGCAGGTGCGCTGGCAGTCCTGAAAGCTGTGGGTTTAAACCCAGCCCTGGGCGGTTAGCAGCTCTGTCTCTCAGGACTGTTGGCCTACTCAGCAAGTTCCTCAGACACAAGCTGGGGGATTGCAAGCTGTGTGTGAGCGCTCTGGGGACTACCTTGCTGCCAGAGGACCAGAACGTCCACAGTTCGGAGCCCCGAGAGTCGGACCTACAAATGCAGACCTTCAGCCGTCTCTCTTTTTGTATTTGAGAAAACAGACTCACAGGAAACCAGCTGTGAACGCACAGAGCCCAGGCCAGGAGATGGAGCTTGGGGGAGTGGGTGTAAACTAAATAAATAAACCCCAGCCGTACTAGGGACATCTCCAGTACTTTCATAATTTTTCAAATTTTGAGACACTCTCTTAAGTTGCCCAGGCTGGGCTTGAGTTTGTGATCCTTCAGTCTCCTTCAATGCTGGGGTCTACAGGCCTGAGCCACCACATCCAGCCATTTGCATTGTCAGATGTGACCAGGATTGTAGACGGGAGAAAAAGGCAAAAAAAAAAAAAAAAAAAAAAACAAAACCAAGGAAAAAAATGTGTAGTTTTAAGTAACATGGTCCCTGAAGCTTCACCAAGCAGGGGACTTTTTTTATTTTGGTAGTACTGGGGATTGAACCCAGGGCCTTGTGTATGCTAGGCAAATGTTCTCCAATGAAGCTACATCCCAGTTCTTTTTGTTTTTTAAGACAGTCTCACCAGGTTGCCCAGGCTGGGCCTGACAGCTGGGCCTGACACCTGGGCCTGACACCTGTGATCCTCCGGCCTCAGGCTCTTGGGTAGCTCAGGCTGTCACTGTAGCACCACACCTGCTCACCCTTTGTCTTTATTGTTAAGGATGCCCCAAAGGATACAGGTGCACACATCAGGTGAGGAGATGGACAGGTACGTTTGGGGAAGGGGTTAGAGCTCCCAACTGCCCAGGGTCAGCTCCTTACCTGTCCTTGTATGGAGGCTTCATTATGTAGTGTGATTGAACCGTTGGTTAAGAGTGATCTGTGATAGGTTCTGGCCTAAGTATGAATGGCTGAATCTTTATGGTGGTCATCTAATACGGCTGAAGCCCTTAGAACAACAGCTTATCTTCCCAGAGACCACCTCCCTCCACTTCTTCTCCAATTCAGCCCAGAGTGCAGTTTCCTTTCACCTCTCCCCCCACCTCAGGGAAGCCCCTCATCAGCTCCCTCAGGCATATCTAAACATCCCCCTCAAACCCCACCCCTGCAAAAGATCATAAATGCCTCCGCCTCCCTTTGTCCAACTCCACGGAATTCCTAGAGTGTGTTGGGCCCTGGACCCTGCTTCCAATGAGGTGGAGCTGTGTGGGGTGTCCAGCAGAGGGTAACACCTCTGTCGCTGGCTGCTGTGTTCACAGCAGGTATTGGGGGAGGTAGGGAGGAAGCAGGAGCGTGTGATCCTTGATAGGTTTTTTCAGGCGCACGCCTGGCACAGCAGAGAAACAGGCAGAAGGAAAAAGGGAAAGGGGCTTTATTTTCTTTGAGAACACGGAGAAAATTTGGGGAAGATAAGGAATTCTCTGGAGGTGGACAAAGGGAGGCTGAGGCTTTTATGGCCTTTTGCAGGGGTGGGGTTTGAGGGGGATGTTTAGATATACCTGAGAAACTGATTTTGGGGATCTTCCCTGAGATGTCAGGAAGGGTGAAAGGAAACTGCACTCTGGGCTGAACTGGAGAAGAAGGGGGGAGGTGGTCCTGGGAAGATGGGCTTTTGTTTTATAGGCTTCAGCTATATTAGATGACCACAATAATGATTTAACAATTTATACTAGGGCCAGAACCTATCAATCAATAGTTTTACTTTTATTCTAATGTTGGTTGAAGTCCTGTGGAAGCTTTTAGCCTGGGAGCAACAGGACATAATTTGTATTATTAGAATGATTTCTTCGGGGGATGGATGGGTAGGGAGCTGATGGGATTGTATTGTATCAGGGGGAAGTGCCAGGTGAGCCACCATGGTGGCCTGGACTGGGTAGATGTGGCCTGCAGCTATAGAGAAAGGGTATGGATTTGGGGTACATTATGGTTGTCAGTTTTTGTTGTGCTGCTAGGGTTTGAACCAAGGCCTTGAGCATGCTGAGCAGGCGCTCTGCATGAGCATGCCCTGCACTTTACACCTGGGCCTGCTGTTGATACTATTTATGAGGTCTTGTGTAGTCAGCTTTCTGTTCCTCTGATAAAACCACGGAGCGGGGGGTGGGGGGGGGAGCGCTGGGGTGAATCAAGATATAGCATGTCCAGGTACAAACAGCCTGTGATGTGAACACTTTGCATATCTGAAAGTACCACTAAATTTAATTAATTAAAAATTCTATCCAATTGCCAGGAGTCGAACAAATGCAAAAAGTTCTTTACACAAAGACATTCTGAGCAATACACATTATGTATGCATGAGGGAAAAATATGCTTCTACATAGAGGAGGTGTTATGGTTCGTGTAAGGATGTACCCCTACTCCCCCAAGCCTCATGCAGTCATGGGAGTGGGTTTTGTGAAAGTGGCTGAATCTAGACTTTGTGATTGCTTTGTAGTGCAATGCTGGGATTAAGTGTGTAAGTGCTATGCCTGCCCTAGGCGGTAGCCTGCATAGAGTGTTAGGGAGAGAAAGAGGCTTGCCGCGCCAACTGCCTGCCTCTTGCTGCACAGGGCAGCTCCCAGGGTCTTGGGTGCAAATCCGCATCTGGCAGACTAGCTTT